GTTTGAATTAACTTTTGAACATAATATTGTAGCTAAAAATGATCTTATACCTTCCTTATGAATTTTCATAATAAGGACAAGAGTAGTGTTGGAACAATGACAGAAAGTTAGATACATTCCACCTCAAAATACAGGAAATAGCGTTTTAGAGTCTAAATTTAAAAATTTTCTGGGGGAAGGATACCCCCAGACCCCCCAAACCCCCCACAGCTGGATGTGAAGCACCCTATGAAATACTCCTAGATAAAAGCCTATTTAAACCCAGTTGACACCAGTTAGCAGCTCCTGACCAGTTTGTCCTGACCCGCAGCTCAGGTGTGACTCCTAACATTTTTTTGCCATTGTTTCTATAGGAACCGTGTACCTAGACTAAAACGCTGCAGTTTCACTTCCTGGTTCCAGTTTCAGATCTTATTCCAGCAGCCAGTTTCTGTCTAGATCCTGATGTTTGTGTGGTTCTGCTTTTTTTTAGTTCACGCGGGTCTGGATCCCGGACCAGGATGACGTGTGGAAAGCGGCTGAGATCACCAAAGACTACAAAGAGGGAGAACCGGTCCTCCACCTGCAGCTGGAGGATGGAACGGTCAGTGGATCTGAACATTCATCCTCACACCTCTTTACCGTTATCGGTTACTGATTAGCGCTCATCGCTGATGGTTATGAGTCTGATTTCTGATCGGTCTGTTTGAGATGAGGTTTGATTTATGGTTAAATTACACTAAGAGTAAGAATACTTCCATAAAGGATTAATTATCAATCTCCATAAAGATCAGAGAATCATCGACATATGAGATGATGTCAATATTTGGACGACTTCTTCCTTTTTTAGCTTTCTGTTCAGATAGAAAAAAGGAGCAGAGATAAAAAAGGCTGTCTCATATTTAAACTTTTTGAATAAGTATATTTATATATTTAGCTCAGATGTAGCCTTTAGATTGTTTCTCCTGATGACCATCCTTGGATCGTCTCACCACGCGGTGTGGAATCAGGCGCCACCCAGACCTCTTTGGGTCGTTAATTGTTGAGGATTCCAGAGCTGACGGAGCTTCCTGATTGGCCGCTCTGCATCTGAAGCCGGTTTCCTTTTATGGACGTACAGAATCTCAGACTCTAAATGTATTCAAATCTGAGCTGAGCGTTCAAAGTCGACCTGACTTGGTGACATCATGCGTTTGATTTATGATCTAAGCTTAGCTTAATGTTGAATGTAAACAGATTTAAACCTGATTCAGATCTGCTTCATTAAACAGTTTCTTTAACGTCGCTGCTCACCAACCTGAATCTCACAGTCCAACAATCCTTCTGCTGCTTTTATGGTTTTCACCTGATAACAAAACTGCAGACTCTAAAACAATGAAGGAAGAAGCGTTTTATTGTTTTATGACTTGTTGATTTTCAGCTGTAACGGACCTGCTCTGATCCGACAGGAAATAAATCACTTCTCCAGCCTTTACTGTCAGTTTACTGAAAATATTTCTCTAGTTTTAGTCCTGGTTCTCGTTTAAGGCGCTCTGAAGTCATGGCGTCGGTTCTGACCGTGTTCTGTGTTCTGGCCCAGCCCCTGGAGTACCAGGTGGGTCCAAAATCCAACGCGCTGCCGTTCCTGAGGAACCCCGACATCCTGGTGGGAGAGAACGACCTGACGGCGCTCAGTTACCTTCATGAACCCGCCGTGTTGCACAACCTGAGGGTCCGGTTCCTGGAGTCCAACAACATCTACACCTACTGTGGTCAGTCCCGCTCAGAGCCACGCACCTACTGACCACTTTGACATGTTTTGATCCTTTTTTGATTTTGGAATCAGTGTTTTGAAATATTTTTTTCCAAATTGGAACAAACACTTTGTTGTGTTTTAATAACCGGTTTACCTCAATGCATCAGTTATCAATCATTTACTTGCTGCTCTCTGATCACACGTCGCTGAAGCTCCACCATCATTGTCACATCCATTTGAAACCACCCCTAACTTCCCGCCTCTAATGCCTCTGGTTCGCAGGTATCGTCCTGGTGGCCATCAACCCGTACGAACAGCTGCAGATCTATGGAGAGGAGGTGATCACCGCCTACAGCGGTCAGAACATGGGAGACATGGACCCTCACATCTTCGCCGTGGCCGAGGAGGCGTACAAACAGATGGCCAGGTAAACCTGAGGCCGACTGCTTTCTGGAAACAGGAGCTCAGATCCGAAGTTCACTCATTTCTAGGGTTCTCTACGGAATATTTAAACTCCTGGAAACAGTTGATTGCATCGACTCACTGGCTCCTCAGCAATCCCTCACACTAAGCATGCTTGTAGCGACAGTGGAGAGGAAAAACTCCCTTTGAACAGGGAGAAACCTCCGAAACAATGTGAGCGGCCATCTGGGGGTCAAACAGTCCTCCAGCAGTCTAAGCCTATAGCAGCATAACTATAGAGATCATCCAATCAGATTGATTCAAAGTTTCCTATATAAGGAAAACCAGCTGATTGCATCGACTCATCAGCAATCCCTCACACTAAGCATGCTTGTAGCGACAGTGGAGAGGAAAAACTCCCTTTGAACAGGAAGAAACCTCCAGCAGAACCAGGATCAGTGTGAGCAGAGAAGCAGGACTACACTGAAAAACAGGCCAAGCTCCAACATCTAGAAACAAAGGTGTTGATGGCAGCAGCACAGCTGATATTTCTCTCCAGGATGG